CGAAAGTGATGTACTGTCCCGTTTTCTGTTTGGGTCCTCCGGCTTAGGTTAGGAGAGCACACTTTCAATTAACGTTTTTCCAAGACGTTTTGAAACCTTAAGAGAACTTCCTGCCCTTCTAACCTACCACAGGACTCTTAACTTGCAGTTTTGAAGTAAAAAAAATCAAAAATTTAATTTCAATTGTTTTTTCATTTTCAAATGACGTCCATTTTCGGCCACACGGGCAAACGGCCGAATTCAGACAATTTTTAAGAGGACAGATTACTCAAGTACCCTAACCTAACTAACTAGAAGGCCCACTAACAGGAAATGGGACATTATGTAAATATCATGAGCCGCTACCATTTTCTTGCGCATCAGTTTTTGGCCTTAGGTAAAGAATACGTCAAAATGCGACGTGTTATAAAGAGAACAGATTAAATAAAATCTGAAGTAGAAAGTCGCAAATGACATTTTGGGAAGAAAGACCAATCAATCACAGTACAAGACGAATGGTGGCCTGGTGTACCCATAGGTCAGGCCTCAGGTCCCAGCGGGTACTTGCCAATAATCTTAGAGAACGTCACAGGCGTCCCTGTGTGGGGGAACAAATAACTTGAGTATTTTCGTTCTATCCTTCTAAACAAATTGCGAGTAGACTTTCTTGCAGGTTATGTTTAGCGTGTATGGGGGTTCAGAAAATTCAACACGGTCAATTTGATCGAGTCCTGTAGGCCAGCCTTCACAATCACCGTAATCAATAAAGTCCTTTTCTTAGTGATGTCTCTCTACATTTATTTATTTACATCGATGCCAATATTTTACATTTATTTTACATTTATGCCAGTTTTATTTACATCGATGCCAATATTTTGTACACTGCAATATGTTCTCAATTTAAATTCGGCAAAAAGGTTGTAAGAAATGGAGCTCACAGCAAAGTAATTAACGTCGTGATAAAACGGGTATTAATTTAAGGCGTGTTTTAATTTTAAAAGTTCACGAATGAAGCAGACGAACATGGCTGACGGAACTCTCGGATTTAAAGTCTTTAAATTAAGTTAAATTAATAATACCAGGCTCTTGACTCCTCTCAGGGAGCCACGTGTGCTTGTCGCTATAGCCGTGTTGAGGGGCGCATATTGCTCTCACTCCAAACATTGGTGGCTCGTAAAAATCGCTTATTATTACAAATCATAAATATTATATAATGATAAAAATTAATTCGATGACTACAACTTTGTTCCATTAGCAAATTTGTTATTTAGCCTAAATTTATTGTTTTAATTATTACTTTAAACGAAACCCACATATGGAGTAATGAAATTATCTAATCAGAATTAAAGACAATTACAATATGTTTTAGATATAATAAAAGAGATAATAAATATCTCCAGCAGACATGGAAGTGTGAGAGAGTACCACGAGGTACGATCTGGACTTACTCGCTCCTTGGAGGTGGTTGTGGCGACGGAGTCCTTGCGGGAGTTGGCAGAGTCCTTCCTCTTCCAGATGGGCAGCGACGTCTTGCGGTCGTCTAGGAAGGCCTGGAGGGAAGGTCGAGTCACGTGGAGGGCGTCGAATGTGCGCTGCGGATCAACATCAAATAGAATTAAAACTGAAAAGACATGTTTTGAATCTGGTTTGTAATGGACAAAAATAAAGGTTCACTAAAGAGCTTGGATTCTTCTTTAATGTTTACCAACAATACAATTTCCTCGCTACTCTGAACTATATCTTTAAGTTCTGCTCTAAACCGTTTCTAAAGTCACTCTTTTGGGCCAGGTTTCATCAAGCATTTACGTGTGCACTTACGAAACCTATACAACTTTTCTCGATCATGGTGGCTTAGTCTGTATTTATTAAACAGTTTACGAGATTCGAAAATTCGCAAGTCAAGGATACCATTCTGATAGACAACCTCTTAACACGTACTATAGTGACAGACCACCTCTTAACGCTCCAGTACTCATAACCTGTCTACTAAATGTAAACAAAGCCGCCATAATCCAAGAAAAATATACAGCTCTCGCACATGGATATTTAAATACATTATTTGAATTCTGGCCCAATTGGAATAATTCCAAAGCCCCGACAGCTCAGCTGATGATACTATTCAATCTTCAATTCATCAACTATTCTATGGCTTCACAACATCCCAGCAATTAACATTATTTATCCTATCATCGCACAAAATACTAACCCAAAATATTTTATGATTTCACATGCTAGTTACTCCTATATTTCAAACTTGGTAAAAGTTTCCCTACATTCCATTAAGTTACAACATGACGCTAAAGCTGCTTCCGAGTACGTCATTATTAGATTATTTTAGATGTACTTCACTATCAGATTATTTTAGACTAGAGGACTTTAATCGTAGCTATTAACACAGACTCAGTTATAGAAGCACCTACATGCTCAGCTCTCAGCCAGCCTCACATCCTTATAATAACTGACATCGTGCTTTAGTTTTACACTCTTAAGTCTGGGTATTCAATCTCTGAAGTTATTCACTCAACTAGTACTCTAACACTTGTCTTGCTTTTTTCCCACTCTTGCACTGATTCTTTTACACTCTTGTGCTGATTATCTCACTCTCGCACTCATTATCTCACACTCTTCACTCATTATCTCACTCTTACAAACTGTCTCCTAAAGACAAAGTAGTCTTTAGAAACTTGTAAGGAATCGTTCAGGACCTTGTATACCACTTATGAAAGACCAATCCTGGAGTATTCAGCTCCAGCCTGAGTTCATACAGAGTTAAACACAAGACAAAGTTAGAGAAGATTCAGAGGTATGCCACCAGACTAGTCCCGGAACTGAGAGGTATGAGCTACGAGGAAAGGCTAAGGGAGCTGAACCTCACGTCCCTGGAAAACAGAAGAGTAAGGGAAGACATGATAATCACCTACAAACTTCTCAGGGAAATTGACAGGGTGGACAAAAACTCTTCAGCACGGGTGGAACACGAACAAGGGGACACAGGTGGAAACTGAGTACCCAAATGAGCCACAGAGACAGAAAGATTTTTTCAGTGTCAGAGTAGTTAACAGATGGAATGCATTAGGCAGTGATGTGGTGGAGGCTGACTCCATACACAGGTTCAAATGAAGATATGATAGAGCCCAGTATGCTCAGGAATCTGTACATCAGTTGACTGACAGTTGAGAAGCGGGACCAAAGAGCCAGCGCTCAACCCCCGCAAGCACAACTAGGTAAGTACTCTCTCGCACTCTTGCATTGCTTGTCTTACACACTTGCGCTGATTATCTCACACTCACACTCTGGCACTGATTGTCTCACAAACTATGGCAATCTTGTTATCTGTTATCTTGAGATGATTTCGGGGCTTTAGTGTCCCCGCGGCCCGGTCCTCGACCAGGCCTCCACCCCCAGGAAGCAGCCCGTGACAGCTGACTAACACCCAGGTACCTATTTTACTGCTAGGTAACAGGGGCATAGGGTGAAAGAAACTCTGCCCATTGTTTCTCGCCGGCGCCTGGGATCGAACCCAGGACCACAGGATCACAAGTCCAGCGTGCTGTCCGCTCGGCCGACCGGCTCCGACCTGGCAATCTTACAATGCTTGTCTAACATTCACGCACCTTTCTATCAGTAGCAGTAGAGACGACCAGCGTAGCGGCAGCATCACCAGAAGCAGCAGTAATAGGCGGCGACTCAAGAGCAACAGCAGGCACAGCAAGCGTGGCGCCAGCAGAGGTGCGCACGGGTGCTCCGGAGGCGGCCCTGCTGGCGGGTCGAGGAGCAGTGGTACCTGCAGCGGCGGTGTCGGCGGCGGCGGCGGCGGCGGCGGCGGGGATGGTGGAGCCCAGCAATGGGTCTCGCTGGTCGCTGTCATCAAGCTTTCTGGAGGGAAAGAGAGGTAGTGGTGATAATGATGATGAGATCTGGCAACCGTGAAGAGCGTCCTCCGGAGACCTTAATCCGTCCTCCGGAGACCTTAACCCTTTGTCTCGTTGAATTCTCCACTGTTTCGTAATCAAAAGTTAAAATAAAGGGAAACAGATCTTGTCCAAGACCAACATCACCCAAAACTTATATAATAATTTTTATTTGAAAAAAATCTTGAAAAAAAAAGTTTTGTCCACATGGAAAATCAAACGTGTAGAGGTACATATAAATGGTTGAATACAAAATACAGCAGGAAACTACAGTTCCATCGCTTCCTGTCAACCAAACTCGCAGTTTTCTTTACAAGTGACTAAACACTAGCCATGACCGGGTAGTTAATACTAATGCGGAGGATGTCATAATATCGTAGCTGAAAATATAATGACCAAACATATTTCTTATCCTTACTGTTCCTCTTATTCTTACGTTCATCTTATTCTTACCGTTCATCTTGTTCTTGTCTATTTCCCTTACTTGGTCCTCAGCTTTCATCTTAGTCTCTTTCCCTATTTATTTGTCTGTATCTTCCTCTCTTCCAGTTACAGCCCCGCTCCTGTGCCAGGTAAGTCCACTACGGGATCACCTTAGCCCGTGCTACTTGGAACTTTTTGTTCAGAGTATCTGAATATAAAACAACAACATCCTCCTCTCTCCTCTCTCAGCACATCTCCTGTGGTGGGCGAGTACGACGGGCTCACTATACCCCGTGCTGCTTGGAACCTTTTGTTCCCAGTAGCTGAAAACCGATACTGAGGCCTTGCGAAGAGATCTATGTCAACACAGTCAGAAAGCTGACAAATGCTTTCCAATATTGAAAATGTAAAATCTTATATGTTAGGCATAACAATGCACTCCACAACGAGCATTGCTTCATCTTAAAGTTCAGACAGCAAAAATCCTCAGGAACAATAGTGGAACCTTTAACAAGCCTCCAGGCCGGCGGCTTCCTGTCCCCGTCGATGCTACTAATAGAGATAATGGCTCTCAGGTAAATTCAAGTTTATAACATTCCCATTTCTTCTATAACACTTATATTTTAACTAGTCACCATTCCATTGTCAAACGTTGTCATTTATCTCAAACATGACTATCCCTATTCTTCTCCAACGTTTCTGTTTTTTTTACTAAGGTCTCTGTTTCTTCAACCAACATTTTAATTTATTCAACATCTATTCCTTCTCCACAATTTGTTTGCTTCTCAGATATCTCGGTTTCTTCGACACAGTAGTTTATCCCTTATGTCTCTGCTTCCGCCCTTACATTTCAACACACTTATACGAAAGATCCCTTTAGTCAGACACTTGACCAAACACCACGCTCCCCAACCCCCATACCTTCACTTACCCCCTGGAGCGCACGTTTCCCTCCCCCTCATCCTTGTAAAAAGAGTGTTCAGCATTAACTCATGTGCCTTACCTGCTGGCGGTGGCGTCATCCTCCTGCTCCTCCGGCGGCTCGTCGGCGGGCTCGTCAATGATAGGTTCCATGCGCGTCGCGGGGGATCTGGACGGGCCGGAGGCTGGTGACTTCCCCCGTCGGAGTGTCCCCATGCGGAAAGACTGACGGAACGATGCCCGTGCCCGGTTGACTGGTGGGAGAGAAAAAGTGGGTGAAACCCCAGTTACGACTGGCACGGATGACAGCAACTGACCTTCACCAAAGCCTACACCAAAGGTAATTCAACGTTCGCAAGAACTAATTTTGCTGCCTACCCACTCACACAAAAAATACAACATAATCAGAGGAATACCGCGTACTACAGTTAAATATATCAGTAGAATTACTGAAGGTACTAATAATAGTAATACTGCTACAGTAACACTAATAATTCAGTAATGAATGAGAAACAAATATTTATAAAAGATATTTATACTATTTATAATAACATTAATTACCAAAAATTTCAATACACAAACACTACACATCTCAGAATGTGATTGATACATGAATAAAATAAATACAACAATATGGGAAGAGAACACAGTTTGTAACAAGTATCACAACTAACCATACTGACCACACAACTCCACTTACGAGTTGTGTATACAGTGTATCCTGCTTCACGGTATATAACCTTGAGATATATATATCCTTTAATCCTGGACTATTTTCAGGACAAAAGTATACTTCCTGGTTGGTCAGCAAGATATTGTAGAGGCCTTGATAACCATCCATTGGTTTATGGGCCATAATCCCAACATAAAACATACTCCCCTCACAAGTGATATATACTGAGCACTGAGGTACGCACCCACCTTCTCGGTGCATGTACCGAGAGTATACTATAGTCATAAACTTAAAGGTTAAAGTATACTTGTAGTTTGCTCAGTGAGCTCTTGTGGTGGGCTGGGTAACCCTCCGGAGGGTAACGGGCCTTGATCTCCAGCACTAATTTAAAATTCTACTCAACAACCAACAAACACAAACTATTGCTTAAATCCCTGCAAGACAAAAATATATATATATATATATATATATATATATATATATATATATATATATATATGACCAAATCCACAATGGCCGTGATGAGGGTTCAAACCTACGTCCGAGAGGATTCCAGACGCGCCTTAATCAACTGTGCCACGACAAGGTAAAATAATTGTAACCGGGAATTCATCTGCCCTGACACGGATCCTGCAGTCTCTCCGAGACACACCAGGGTTTTACACAAATCCCTTGTGGATTTGTTCATTTGATGCATCACGCTATTGTGATTTCTGTGTATATATATATATATGAAATAGAAATTATACGAGGCATGGTAAACCGAGTTATGGTAAACTAGCGTGGTACGGTTAATTAACGAGGCGTGGTAAACTAGCAAGGCATGGTTAGATTGCAAGGCACTATAAACTAGAGGCATGGAAAACAAAGGCAGGCATGGTAGACTAGCGAGACAGTAAACTAGCGAGGCATGGTAAACTTGCTTGGCATAGTAAACTTGAAACACACGAGACAGTTACGGGTCGTCCTGCACAAGTCATGTGTTGCTGACGTCAGCAATGCGAGTCTCAACGTGTCGAGCGCCAACAGTTACCCTCGTACGAAATTTATATAAATTTACGTACAGGCTTGTATGTATACAGTTCACCACTAACATAGGCTTTAATAAATTCATTGTTCAGGTTTATTGATATATCGACAGAACTACGCTAGTCTATTTAACTGAAACAAAAATGTTTAAAAATAGCTCCTATAATAATTCATTTTATTCGGGTTTATAATGTGGTGAATAATTTACAGACGGTGAATACATATTTATTTGTTCACTAGCTGAGATTCCCCTTGCAAATGGGTTGAAAACGTGATCACAGCTGGAGTTACAAATTTTGGAAGGTAACTTGATTATCGTTGCAACTTTTAACTATTTTAATTTAGCTTCATATCGGCATACACCTAATGATAATTAAACCGCAATTAACCTTGGCATGTATTATGTGTATATTATGTACATATAATTACTTAAGTATAAACGACTATCACAATAATATAAACCCACTGCAACTGCTCTATATTCTTAGGCAACTATTAATTTCATTTTAATTATGATCATAATTATGTAGGTTAGTTACATATATTAGGATACAGTCTGTTCATACTATAATGCCTTCACAAACATTGCTGACGTAGACTAGAATTACATTATACTATATTTAAGACATAATAATAATAATAATAATAATAATAATAATAATTATTATTATTATTATTATTATTATTTAACGCAGAGAAAATTAAAAACCTAAAATCAGGTTAAGTAGAGGGTTCGCCGACCCCGTTCGTCCTCTCTTCCGCTTTAACAAACTTAATTAGACTAGTTCACGTGTGATTAATTAATGTGTAACAAATCGTTGCTTCATTATTTTGGCCACTGTATTTCGCCATGGCTGCTGACTTCGATTTAAAAGATTATTGAATTACACAACGCTAGCTCATTCACGCTGTTAAGTGCTGCAGACGACCATGGCAATCAAGTGTGGATGGGTGTGGATGGATGTGGAGGGCCCTTAATAGCCTCGGTCAGCTGGTACGTTTTAAGACCAGGTAAACTTCCCAGTGGGACCGAGGGAAGTGATATAGATAGTTGTCAGCCCTGTGCTTCCCTCCTTCACACGTTCCTGTTCCTTACACCCACCTCCCGAGGAACACATTCACCATCCCTCCATCATTCGGAAAGTATGAATGGCACCCCTACCTCATGGGGCATATCAACAAACACACACACTCTAGGCACAAGGCTAGTCCCAGAACTAAGAGGCATGAATTATGAGGAAAGGCTGCGTGAACTGCACCTCACGTCGCAGGAAGACAGAAGAGCTCGGGAAGACATGATCACCACATACAAAATGGTGACCCCACTCGTCTGCCCTTCCATATACAACCTGCAAGTCCTCAAACACTAGCTAATGCAGCCTACTCCTACCATGCATAGTTTAAAACTCTTCTACAAGGTGCAAGACAAGGCACCTTTCAGAAACACATACTTTTGGCTTTTGTTCGGTGAATCGCATTACCAACTGCATCTCTCTTCGGCGCCAAGTTAAAAGCTTTACTCTACATGAAAATTAAACAAATCTCCAGAAGACTCACATCTGGACTGGATGGTGTTGTCGCCGAGGGAAGAATCTTCGTCCTCGTCCTCCTCAGGCTTGACTGTAAGGTCCTGGAAGTTGACGATGAACATACACGTATCCCCATCCTCGTTCTTGATCGGGCACAGCGTCGTCTGACACAGGAATTTCGTCCCTGGAACACAAGGATTTAGTGGTGAGAATCGCGTGGTGCTAGTTTGGTAAAAGTAGCATATTATATATATATATAAAATCAAATAAATAATCTATAAGTATAAAAAAAAATGTTTAATAAATGTTAGGCGTTTTGTCCAATGTTGGAGGCCAGAGGCTTGGGGCTAGCCTCCCTAAATATTGCAAGGTGACTGGTGGGTGTTTGGAGGACGGACATCAGGGCTCGAGGTCGGCCCCATGCTACTCCACTCTTTACATGAAATGACAATTGATACCAAATTCCAATCACAGAAAAAACCAGACTCCATCCTCACCAAGATTCTGCACATTGTTTTATACATAATAAAAGTGTTGGGGAGCTTCCAGAATCAGGAGAAACCTTGCTGCAGCATACTACTTAATCCAAACATATACCATAAATATGTATGTTAGACAAGATAATACATAAAAATTAAATGCTGGTTTATTTTATGTAGTTTATTTATTAATTAAATGAGTAATAAAGATGGTCACAGTGATGATGATCTAAGATGAAAACAGTGTGTAGTGATGAAGTGATTATGGTTGCGAATACTTAAGAGTACAGTGATGATGATGGTGTGTAAGTGAAGATGGTTACAGTGATGAAGGTCATTGACAGCGTGTAATGAAGATGTGGCCTGCACAACCATGGAGCTTACTGGAGCATGAATAGTGGGTGCTCAACATTGCAATATGCCCTGAAGGAGGCCATAAATTATACAATTGAGAATAATTTACTTGATGTCTATCATTCATACCTACTCTTAATCTACGCTCCAGGCATTGTTATCCAGTCAGCACAGAGATAATATACAACTCATTACAGAAATGCTACATTTAGGAAAAGAAGCACACAATCTACGGCTGTCAATCACTAAATTGGATACCAAGTCACATTGGCATAGATGGTAATGAAAAAGCAGACTCACTAGCAAAAACTGTCACTGCTCTACCTGTTGTACAGGTTCAAATACCTTCAAATTTTGTATAGATTAAGGAACAAATCAAGAAGAAAATAATCCCAACAATCAAAAATTGCCACAGAGCCAAAGTAGTGGAAGGAAGATCCACTGCGGTGTGGTACGAACAAGCCACTGGGTACTACTCCTTCAAGTCTGGCAAAATGATATCCAGAGACATTGCAGTAGCCATACACAGACTTGGTTATAAGTGCTGCTGGGAGGTAATAAACCCAATAGTTAAAGAGTGTCATAACTGTGGAACAGAAGCAGAGGCGTCACCATTGCACTACTTACTGGAATGTGAAACAACTGAAGTCCTGCGCATCAAACTGAACATTAATGCAACGACAGCAGCTGCATTAGATGCAAATTCCAGCGACTATAATGATTAGAAAAACAGTTAAAGAATGGGACAAACTAGTGAACATTCTGCATCTTCATCCGCCACCAAGATAATGTTATTAAAACAAGACTAAAATCAGTGCGCTAAAACAAAGCGAAAAAGAAAAGGGGGATAAGGAGGAAATCCCACCTCCATTTAAAACTTTGACCCAAATATCACAGTAACAAGGATATCGCGAATAACCGAACTCAATTATGGGCTCACTATAGCCCGTGCTATATGGGCATTTCGTTCTGAGTAGCTAAATCTATAACAACAACCACCCCAAAGTAGCAAGGGGAAAAAAAGGAACATTAGGTGAGCTGCACTTAGCGCATAGGCCTAACCCTGAACAATCACAATAATAAGTGTGTCATCACCAGGACTATGAATTTCATTAAAACTGCTAATACACAAAAACTGAAAAGACGAAATAAAAATCTAATTTATTATTAAATTGTATTTTCTAATTAAATATTAAATTTAAAAATATCCAATCCAAGAACTTTCGTACCAAGTTTTTTGCGCCTCGTCAGCCAATTACGGAATTTCATTTGTTATTGGATGCTAGGATAAATGTTGCCACTCAACACCACCCATGGGAAGGCGAAGATGTAACACACTTCCTTACCCAACCTTTCCCACTCCTACCACCTAAACCGTCTTGCAACTTGGGTACCATTCCTGCCCTTCGTCCTATCCCAGATCCTTATCCTCTTATCCCTTTCAAGTGCTAAATAGTTGTATTGTCTTAGCCCCTTGTCCAGATAAATACCTAACTTTGCATCTTGGTCTTTCCTACAGTCCGCCAACGTTGAGAAATATAAGCACTACACGTTTTCCTAATAGGCAACAATGTGGATTTGTTCATTTGATGCATCACGCAATTGTGATTTCTGTGTGTGTAAGGCAACAATGTATTCCTAAGAGAGAACAAACTAAGCATGGATAACAATGACTTCAGTATGAAGTTAACGTTACAACACCTGCAAATCTTCTAAGATCGTTTACTCTAGTGCCTAAAAGGTCACAGAGGTCGCTGGAGTTCGCCAAAGCCGACGAGAGGCGTAAATCATCCTAAAACATCTACGTTGTCACTTTACCGACAATATCTCTGCTTGGCACAAAGAACATTCTCTTGGGACTTTTGTCTTAACACGGGTCGACATTCCAGATGGCACGAGTTTAATTACGATAGAAAAGATCTGGTTAAGTTAAGTTTGTATACAGAGTAGCGCTGACATAAGAGGTACATACTTTTCTCAGGTCTTCCCTCCTACTCCGCCCACCTCAACACACATGCTCATAATTTATAAACTAAACGTTATAGGGTTGCCAAAATTTCATTAACTTGGGCCTCACTAATTACCGTCGTCTGCTCCAGGTTATTGATATCCAGTGCGGTCACTCTGTGCCGCAGACAAACCTAAAAACCACGCAGATTAATTCCGCACACCCGCCCTCTGCGACGCCGGCTGACACACTGACAAAAATGGCCGCGCCAAACTCCTTGGCGTGATTGTTTTACAATTTCATATTAACTAATATTGATGGTTTACTTTGCTCTGCTGCAGATTGCAGCATTAAAATAAATACTATTTAAAAATTATCTTATTGTTATCCTCTATAGGAAGAAAACGATTGCAGTAGGCTTTTACCCAAAATGAAAAAAAATTGTTAACGCAATAGATTAAGAACACTAACAATAAGTGAATAATAAGCTGGAAGAAAATTGTCTATAAACTAAAAAAGATGCAATTTTTATAAATAAGTCAGAAAAGGAAAGAAAAGTGCCACTAAAATCAATGGAAATACGAAAACAAAATTTTGTTAAACGTTAAACTGGTTAAGAAGAAATTACAAGTAAGAAAGGATGTACGTTTCTAGGATCATGGATGGAATTTATTAAAAATTTGAATGTAAATATGAATAGGAAAAAGGCAGAAAACAATAGCAAAAGATAACCCTGATGCTTCTTTTCACCTAGTAGTAAAAAGATACCCTGGAGTTAGTCGACTGTTGTAGGTTGCATTCTGGGAAAGGTCATTCATTGGCCTAGACTCACGTGTCTAGAGGGAACTCATTCTGAGAGGCTTCCTGCCCCCGACAACACGAAACCAAAATACACGCTCAGCAATGCAGAACTTGAAATGAGGGAAAGCTGATATTGATGAAGTATGTGAGTAAATTATAATATTTTTAACACTGGAGAAAAAAAACACTGAACTAGACATTGATAATTTACCAGAAAGCTTGGTAAAGTGATGCTATACCAAATTATATATTGGAAAGGAGCTGTGATTGTACCTATATATTTAAAGGAAAGAGAAAGTAGTCTGATTAAGAACTATCGAGGCAATAATCATACTGATGGTTGCAAAGCGTATGTCAAAATACTGAGTGGAAGTCTTCCAAATATACTTGGGAAATTAATAATATACAGCGCGAGTTCTGTAGCGGAAGAGGCTACGTTGATCTCTGCAGTGATGAAGCCGGGGAAGGTATGCTAGAGGCGATACAACGCATACATAGCCTAGCCTTTATAAGGACGAGAAAAATTAATAGAGGTAAATACTGGACGTGTATGAAGTTTTAAACAGATAATGGCGTATATGGATAATTTAGTGTATATCAGGAATAAATGGCGTATATATAATTTGCTGTATGCAGATGATGCAATATTTATGATTCAAAATTTGAAATATATCTAAATTATAAGGAAGTTCTGCTGCTTTGTGCAAAACACAACCCATCCTTCTGTTTATATACGCAACTACGTGGACCATAGTACATACAGAGACGTAACTGATAATTAGATAGTAGAATTTGGTACAATTTACTGTATAGTCAGAAACAATAAATACTAAAAACCAAACTTAAATATTACTAAGCCTAGTATAGCACATATATGTTCTATAATAGGCCTCAGGTACCTGTATTAGGCCTATGAAAGTTAGATTAGGTTAAACTGTTTTTGCAACATCAGTATAGAAACTTTTCCAGTTTGTCTAAATTCAATAGTACCGATTTCTACTTTCTAATTGCCTTTTACGCCAATATATATTGTACGATAGTCCTCATTGTTATTATAAGTGCTACCTAAACAGTGTGAGGGGCTGGCAAAACATGACTGCTAAAAAAAAAAAAATCTGCAATAAAATAAATGTGGAGGAGAAAAAACTTCATTAAATTGGCAATAAATTTCAAACTAGTACAAACGGTCGGTCATTTTAACAACTGGGCTCTGTAGTCTAATTGCTAAAAGAGGAGTTTGTGCAATAAAGGTTGAAAGCCAATTAAGGTAGGAAAGTAAAGTGGCTGGAGGCACTGATAGCCTAACCAGGACAAGTTAGACAGGAGGTACAGAAGTGGTCAGTCTCCTGCTGAGAACCTTCAGTCTCCTGCTGAGAACCTTCAGTCTCGTGCTGAGAACCGTCAGTCTCCTGCTGAGAACTGTCAGTCTTGTGCTGAGAACCGTCAGTCTCGTGCTGAGAACCTTCAGTCTCCTGCTGAGAACCGTCAGTTAATATACCAATCTGTCCTCTTAAAAATAACGTCGCTTTTGGCCGTTTGCTCAGGATAGGAGATAGGTAAGCACAACTAGGTGAGTATAACTAGTTGAGTACACACACCCACACTGCATGAATTGATCCTCACTTTGGTGGATCCAGAACAGAAGTTATGAGAGACGTGATTACCACATAAAATTTTCAGTCAGGCTAGCACGGGTGGAACTCGCACTAGGGGACACAGGTGGAAACTGAGTTCCCAAATGAGCCACACAGACATTAGAAAGAATTTTCTCAGTGTCAGAGTAGTTAGGAAATGGAATACATTATGATGTGGTGGAGGCAGACTCCACACACATTTTCAAAGTTGAATAAAATAGAGCCCAATAGGCTCCGAAACCTGTACAACAATTGATTGGTATTTGAGAGGCGGGCCAAAGAAGCGAAGCTCAAACCATGCAAGTTTAATTATGGGAATAGAGAGGCGTGCGCGCGTTACAATGATAGTTGGTGTCATCCTCCACCACACACTCCGCATCAACAGTGGATCTAAACTCCCGCTACACACACACACACACACACACACACACACACACACACACACACACACACACACACACACACACACACACACACACACACACACGCACGCGCGCGCGTCTACACACAAGTCACCCATTTAGTCTATTAGCACATTTAAAAAATAATACTCAGATTCCAATAATTTAATATACATATTAATAATTTGAATGTGTAACTAGTTTCATCTCTGAATTTGTCATAGAATACGCGTCATTTAATTCATCACCTTCATCATCCTGCAGACACATCTGATGCGAGTAATAATACCTACCAAATTATTCCTACATAGTTGCATTTAATTAATATTTATTTTAAGCCAATAAAATGAGCTGCCTCCGTTGTCAGTAGTGTGGCAGGTAGGGTATGATCCTCCCCGGCTCCCAGCACATGCCCGGACAACAGGGAAGACAAGGTCTGGCTCCAGTTGTCATTAGGCTACACCGCGCGCTCGCTACGAATTTTAATTCTTTGGATTAAATTCGTTGAAGAGAAGAGGTCGATGTAAATGGCTGTCTGGAAGGGTGACTAGCAAATGGAACGACGAAGGGCGAATGGAAAGACAAAAAACGGAGGGACGGGAGATGAGGAAATGGAAGACGAGAGGGAGGGGAGGGTGGAATAACGGAGAGGTGAAGGCAGGCCAATAAGAGAATGGTAGGGCTAACTGCGATGTTTCGAGACAGAGCTTAGGATGAGGATGCAATGGATAAGAGAGCGAGGAGGATATTTAGGCAAATTGAAAGAAGGAAGTGTGGAAATTTGTATTTATTGAAAGAAAATGAAGGATAAACTTAGGAGCACAAGTGAGATGAGAGAGTAACGTGTAGATAGTGAGAGAGGGGTTGAGGTGAAGGAGAGAGATTCGGACCGAAAGAAGTGCTGGGGGAGGAGGCGGAGCACGGTTGGTAACAAAAAATAAGCTTTTTTTTTTAAAATCCCCAACCTGCCCGCGTTTTTAGAATGAAAACCGGCAGTAAATCTCTGTGGGGAACCCAAGTTCAGATATTTTTATTTTAGGCCGGTGTGCAAGATTTTAAGCCAGAGATACTTTCGATACATCCCTGAGCACTACACTACATCATTTATTGCGGCATCTCAATGGAGCCAGGTTCACAGATCAGGGCTATATATGGGGCCCCTCTGGAGTTTCTGAATCTATGTTGTCTGGTGTTATACTTTTGATCCACTTCCATGTGCTTAACCAGTCAGTGGTTGATGATTTTAACGATTTTTTTTTTACATGGAATCTCTGGTAAGGAAATTGTCTATAACTTCATTTTGTGTTAGTGGTTTACCTGGCTTATGGAATAATCGCATGGTGACATTTTTGAAGTAGGTGGGATAATAGTCCAGATGCAAGAACGAAAATTAATGTATTTCCGTCACTGGAAGGCTCATCTATACCTGTTTGTTTGTTTTGCTAATGACAGGTAAAAGGTTTTTAAAACCTGTAATTGTTTTTGGGCCTCTTCGTTGCTTATGTGGTTTACAAGGTGGCACTCATTGCGAATGTTGTTAAAGTCTATTGTTTGCGGTGGTGATAAAGTTGTGACTGCTTTCCACAAGATTTGTAATTACTTTTCCTGAAATCTTTTTCTTCTCCGTCTTCAGAAAGCTTATTTCCTAACTCATCTTTGATGAAAGATGTTTCCTTGTATGAGGCGCACATCACGTTTTTTACTTTCTTTTCCAGAACTTTCCGGAGTTTCTTTGATCTGTTTGGATTTGCTTATCATATCTTATTTTTTGGTGTATTCTTTTTTTATATCAATCTCACAGCTCATATTGAAGTTCCCTCTGTAGTCTTTTGCGCTCGTCTGTTCATCCATTGTGTGTTGTAAGTTGAAGGAGAGTGTTATATCTGCTTTGAAGTGTTGTGAGTTAAACGGCTGCTAGAGGGTGTGGGAGCGTCAAGTATCTACCTTTGGGGAAATGTTTGTTAATGCATTTTACCGTGATGCTTTTCATTGATTTAGTTCTGTGTTTATGCTGGACGTTTCCTTGCCTCTAAAATCTGTTAGAGTAACTTGCGCTGCATTTGAATGCCTCACAATCAGTTTTTGGATATTGAAGACTGGGAAGGGAGGGAGGGATTTTGTATTGAGTTTGTTGAGAGTCAGTATTATTAGTTGGTGGTCACTTGTGTTTACTGAGACTTTTTCTATGTGGGTGTTTAGGAATGGATGGTTGTTTGCCAAACTAATGTCAAGTTTGCCAGTATAGCCTAATTTGTCAGGGCTAATATGGATTAAATTTGTTTCCTACCATACTGTGTATGGCTTCTCTTACCTGGTTGTTTCTTCCATGTCCGAGAGCTCTGTGTTTTGCATTTAGATCTCCCAGAAAATAGGGAAGCCTGTTTCATCTGATGAGTTTTGTAATGTCGGCCATGGTAAGGCAGAGCTGTCTTGGTGGGCGGTACCACATTCCGATGAAGTCGTTTGTCTTTTGAAGTTTGCCTTTAGTCGTTTTAAGTTCAATATGCGGACAATTTTTCTGAAATGATCTTGGATTTAGTGCGGTAAATTTCTCCTGACTGCAATTACTGCTCCGTTGTTGGCTTCATCGGCTCTGTTGACCTGGTAAGTTGAAAAAGGTCGTGGCGGAGTGTTGGCTGATGGGGAGAGGTTAGGGCGGAGCGGAAGAGGTTGGGATGAAGGGGGTAGAGGTTAGGGGAGTAAGGAGGTAACTTTTGGGTAGAAATAGCCTAAGCTACTCTATCCCTTTGAGATGTATTTATTGCTTATCTCAATAAACATACTTGAACTTGTTGGCGCGGAGAGGTTACGTGACATGACTAGTACCAACCAGCTTAATAAACACATGTTAATTTGTATAGAATATATACGCAATATTATATAATAAAGAGAAATTCCGAACCTATGTGCATTTCCTATCGGCGCCAGGGTGTTGCCAATTTCCCCTGCAGCCTACTGAGCGTGAGGACGAGCAACGCACCCGTCCAGGCTTCAGCATGGGAACATGCAGCTCCAATTAGGATTATGGTTTTACGGAGGCGACACGCTGGCGCCGTCCTCCATCGTGGGCAAACAGCTCCTTGTTTATGGGATTCAGGTGAGTGAAGAGGAAGTCTGATGGTGAACCTAGATGAATAAACGCACGTGTGCGTGATCATCACGATGAAAATGATTGTTGTGATCTTTGTTCTGTGGTCAAATGACGCTACTCAGGTGACGTTAAGATACTAATAACTAAGATGCTGTTGAGGAAGAACTCATATATTTCCAAGAGATTAAACCGCCTAAATTTCCCAGCGGTATTGTGAATGATAATCTCCAATCATTTCTCATTTCTGTTTAGTCACACTGTCTCTGTCCTATTAATATAATATTAGAGAATGAAGGCGATGAGTCACAATAACGTGGCTAAAAAGTATGTTGACCAGACCACACACTAGAAGGTGACGGGACGACGACGTTTCGGTCCGTCCTGGACCATTCTCAAGTCGATTGTGAGAATGGATGATCAATCGACTTGAGAATGGTCCAGGACGGACCGAAACGTCGTCGTCCCTTCACCTTCTAGTGTGTGGTCTGGTCAACATTAGAGAATGAAGCCTGTGTACTGGGAGTCTGTGTTAATATTAGCCATCTGTTGACCCAGGAGTTTACCAGAAACATTGCAGATATTATTCCTGCATAGATAAAATCATGTTAGTGTAAATAATAGCCTCGTGTTTAACTGTTGATCAACAAATTTGAAAAGTGATTCTTCAACTCATATATAATTATTTTAGTCCATTAATTTGATTGTGTGCAATATAGCCTCGTACGTCTTCATACATTTTAGAATTAATCTTCTTATAAATGAATGATACCAATGTTTATTTAATATTCAGGTTCAGAAAATCCCGAATGTCAATCAAGATGACAGCTTCAATTTATATTCGATTCTTGATAACTATTAAATAATTATTAGGATACAGAAAGTTACAAATATCATGGTCATAGAACCCTAAACAATGGATTTAAATTGGTTAAGTTTAGGTTTAGGAAAGACCTGGGTAAATACTGGTTTGGAAACAGGGTTGTTGATTTATGGAACAGCACTTTCTGCACTTTGCTTAATTCCTGTGTGTTTATATTGCGAGCCTTTTATTGGACTAGTTTTCAGGAGAATTGTAAATGACATCGGCCAAATCCAAATCGATTTATTATTTTTCGGGAAATAATCAATATTAGTTACAAAATGACAACCTGACAGCTTCAATATGTTTCCGATGTGATTTCACGAGTCTTAATTATCATATATATTTATTTATATAAATGTAAGTTTTATTACAATGATAGCCCAGTACTGTGATTTTAACAGTATATAATATTTTGTAGCCCACAACAGTTTCAAATAAGTGGAAATTAATTGTCATGGTGTATTTAATTTTCTATTAAATTCAGTTTGTCTTTCCTCTTCATGTATGGTGTGAGGTGCTCAGGTTATGTGGTATGAGGTGTTCATGTTGACACTGGTACTCCTCGCATGTGATTAATCTGGATTACTAAAGCAGATTGGATCGTTCGGCGCAAGTGATCAAGATATTCAGCGACTCTCAAACGGGTGTTCAACTTTACAGAGATGCGAGCCAAGGAACATGCTTTAGCTGAACACCGACATGTTATCATACATACATACAAAAAAGTAACAGCTGATCGATTGACAGTTGAGAGACGGGCCGAAAGAGCAGAGCTCAACCCCCCCCCCCCCGCAACCACAATTAGGTGAATACAACTAGGTGGATACAGATTCGAGAACTGCCACTGAAACCTTGCAACAAGAACACATACGTGACAACATCCATCTGCTCACAAATGTCATAACATTAATGCACTCAAACGTCAAGGCCGTCGGGTATTTATCAACTGGATGGCAAGTCATGTGGGAATAATAGGAAATGACATTGCAGACGCAGCTGCAAAACTTGCAACTAAGAAAAGAAATGTAGACATTTACATACCACAGAATCTATCACAGATTAAGAAAGTAATTAGAGATAGAGCAATGCAAAAGATATCCAGTGACCACAACACAGCAGTTGCAACATCAGGATCTGCGGGTTGGTACAAGAATTCAACCAACTACGAACCACTTATTTTGATGGAAGGGAGCATTAGAACAACAGAAGTACATTTACATCGCATCAGGCTTGGATACCCATGTGCATGGGAAATAGGCTTACAGGTTCCAGAAGATGAGAGGAAATGTCAGGACTGTGGAGAAATGCCCGACACACCACTGGAACATTATCTAACACAGTGCACAGTTACAAACCCAATAAGATTTCAACTTAGATTCAACAGAGCAGAAGTTGTTAAGCACATGGGGGCATAACCTTACTGAAGCGACCATACGAGTCTTAAATACTCATACTCCGTCTAAGTAAAACAGAAACAAGTAACACTTAGTGGGCCATCCAGAGACTTAGGGCCCGCGCAGGAATATCCCTGCAAACAAAAAAAAATCGCTCCTACAATTTTGTGAAAAAGCTCTAAATTCGTGAGAAAAAAAATACAGAAAATACATCTGAAACAAATGAAGTCAATCTTGACATACTGGGCCATTGAGAACGGAAATTATTTAAAATTTTTGATAAACTCTTAAGTTCTCATCCAAGACGAGTCTTAAACTGTTTGGCTGAATAATGGGATGTTTCACTAGCAATTCCATTTGCGTTACGTGGCTCATTTGAGGGACATTTATGACAGCACGAAGCAGCTTTTGATGTGCATAACTATGGCCATTATCGTTGAGGGGTAGCGGGTGGGGGTGGGGGGGCTAGTTGGTGAGGATTGGGGGTTAGTGGTAGCGGGTGGGGGGTTAAGCAGGTAGTTGGGGGTTGGTGTGGATTAAGGGTAGCCGGCTGAGGATCAGCGTAGCGGATGGAGATTGAGGGTAAAGTAAAAAAAAATTATAAAATGAAAAACAAAAACGATTCACATTACAAATAAGAGAATGACAAACCCGATGAAAAAGGAGGAAAACCTGATATAACAGCGACTATACTAGTGTTGTTGATGGCAAAGCACAAGACAATAAACATCAGCGTCGGAAAAAATGTTCCTAATGTCACTTTTTTTTGTGTTCCGTTTGAAAACTATATAATCGGTTTCGAAAATTTTTAAATGAAAACAAAAGCCTTTCACTGGAGAGGAGATGTGTCGTCTCCATGACGACAGTCCCTAGTATCGAGGAGCCAGATTCACGAAAGCACTTACGCAAGCACTTACGAACGTGTACATCTTTCCTCAATCTTTAACGGCTTTGGTTACATTTATTAAACAGTTTACAAGCATGACAACTTCCCATTCAACTGTTGTTATTGTTATAAACAGCCTCCTGGTGCTTCGGAGCTCATTAACTGTTTAATAATTGGAAACAAAGCCGCCAAAGATTGAGAAAAGATGTACAGGTTCGTAAGTGCTTGCGTAAGTGCTTTCGTGAATCTGGCCCGAGGACAGGTGTAATTATGCATCAAAATAATACCTGTGAATCCGAATAAATTATACACACCGTGTTCAGGCTTCGCATTGAAGACTCCTCACTTCTGGTGAGGCGATAATATATATATATTCATTCACGCTATCAGGTTTACCGGATTAATTACGTTAGTCTTTGCACATATTTGTTTTTCATTCATGTGTTTATCACTATACTTAGTGGGCCAGCCAGAGGTTAGCCCTGCAAAAAAAAAAAAAATCTAGAACTCACTGTCTCCGAGGAAAGTGTCAGTGGCACGGAGGAAAATGGCTGTCAGTGCCACGGAGGAAAATGGCTGTCAGTGGCACGGAGGAAAATGGCTGTCAGTGCCACGGAGGAAAATGGCTGTCAGTGGCACGGAGGAAAATGGCTGTCAGTGCCACGGAGGAAAATGGCTGTCAGTGCCATGGCTGTCAGTGCCACGGAGGAAATGGCTGTCAGTGCCACGGAGGAAAATGGCTGTCAGTGCCACGGAGCAGCACTGGCCTCTAGAGTAAGTGAAACGACAACCAATCTGGTTGAGAACACCTGGTGTACGCACTTCGTGGGACCTAAGCTGCAGGAATATACAACTCAAGATATACTGCAGGAATCGACTTGAGAATGGTCCAGGACGGACCGAAACGTCGTCGTCCCTTCACCTTCTAGTGTGTGGTCTGGGCAACTGCAGGAATATACAAATATATCAATCAATTTCCGTAATAACTGAAGTAACACTCACAGGCACTGGAGCCCCAGAAAATTGTGGGAAATTATATTCGTTGCCCAAAACAAGGAGCCAAACGGTGTCCCGAGACAGCGGAGTCCCCGGGTAATGGAGTCTCGGAGTAACTGGCGACCAGGTAATGGAAATTCACAGCAACTGGAACTCCAAGATAATGGACACCCGGAAATCTGCAAACACAAAACAGGCATGAGGGGCCCGGTGAAGCATGAGGGGCCCCGGTGAAGCACGAGGGGGGCCCGGTGAAGCACGAGGAGCACCGTGAAACACGAGGGGGCCCCGTGAAGCACGAGCTCCGTGTACAGCCCGTCCTCCAAACAAAGATTCAAAAGTGATTCCATGCACCCGCCAAACCCCCTGTTTATGAATGAAAATCGGTTTACACACAACTCACAACTGCTGACGTTCGAACATATCCGGAACAAGTGCTTCACTGACGAGTTTTGTTCAAATCACAACGCTATAAATGCTTCACCCACGTACTACAAATACAAATAATCGCCAACAGAATCTAAACACCTAACCTAACCTATCCTATGCCTATATATACACAATATGCCAATATATTACAATATTATTTTATACTTGAGAAAATTCCCGTTTTGAATGAACAGCAAGTTAAAATTTATGAATGCGTCTGTGGGGTCGACCGCTGAATGTAATGGACTTCAGTCGAGGACGGGTTGCCGTGTACGCAAGGCGGCGAGCCAATCAGCAGGTGGAGGCGCGGGTCAGGGCTCCGGGTCCGTCATTATGCACACTGACGCACCGCCTCCACCAACGCCATTTACGGGATTGGTCACACCGAGCTGGAGCAACAATGAATGCCATCTGAAAAGATTAAACTTTCTGTATTTCCCTCCAAATCCGCCCCCCCCCCCTTCCCCGCCCTCCTCCCGGTCGACTCCCGCCCCCTGGTCGACTCTCCCCTCCTGGTCGTCCCCTCCCCACCTGGTCGACCCCCTCCTCCCTGCCATGTCTGCACTACACCGCCTGCCACTTCCTCACTCCATTATTTACTGTTTGCGTTGCTGTTGCTGCTGCTGCTCCTTCTGCTGTTGCTCCTCTTGTTATTGTTGTTGTTTGAAATAACTGATGCTACTGCTATGCTGCTGCAGTTACTGCTGTTCCTGGTATCTTGCTCCTTTTTTTTTCTTTTGTGGCTGCAACTATTGTTACTTGTGCTACTGTTGTTCCTGCTTAACCTGCTGCTGCCACTACTGTTGTTCCTGCTTAACTTGCTGCTGCCACTACTGTTGTTCCTGCTTAACCTGCTGCTGCCACTACTGTTGTTCCTGCTTAACTTGCTGCTGCCACTACTGTTGTTCCTGCTTAACCTGCTGCTGCCACTACTGTTGTTCCTGCTTAACTTGCTGCTGCCACTACTGTTGTTCCTGCTTAACCTGCTGCTGCCACTACTGTTGTTCCTGCTTAACTTGCTGCTGCCACTACTGTTGTTCCTGCTTAACCTGCTGCTGCCACTACTGTTGTTCCTGCTTAACCTGCTGCTGCCACTACTGTTCCTGCTGCTGCTAATGTTATAGGATGTGAGTGATGGAGGGAAGGTTGCATGGAATGACTGGAAGAGGGTCATTGGGGAGAGGGGGAGGCAAGGTGCCAGCCGGTTAAAGCACCGACACTTAGCTAGGCATATCGTCTGGACGAGGCCCAAACCGGTCACATGAAAAGTTTAGATAAGATGTAAGGGTAATTAAGGCGTAAACCAGGAGCAATAAGCGCACGAGCTAGAGGAAGTCAACCATACTTGATTACCTCTTTGCTCGTGTAATTATTTTTATCTAGTGCAGTAGTGTAGTTATGTGTGGTTCACCACCCCTCCAACCTCACCAACCCCCTCAAGTTCCCCACCACCATCCCCTCAGGTCCCCCACCCTCCGCCAACCCCTCAAGTCCCCCCCCCCCCCGCCAACCCCTCAAGTCTTGAACCCCGTGTTTCTAATAAAAATTATTTTTCCTCTATTATGTTTACTATATATATTTCTCTTATATATCTCGTGTGTGTGTGTGTGTTCTCACATAGTTGTGTTTGCGGGGGTTGGGCTATGACTCTTTGGTCCCGCCTCTCAACTGTCAATCAACTGGTGTATAGATTCCTGAGCCTACTGGGCTATATCAAATTTACATTTGAAACTGTGTATGGAGTCAGCCTCCACCACATCACTGCTTAATGCATTCCATCTGTTAACTACTCTGACACTAAAAAAATCTTTCTAATGTCTCTGTGGCTAGTCTGGGTTCTAAGTTTCCACCTGTGTCCCCTTGTTCGTGTTCCACCCGTGCTAAAGAGTTTGTCTTTGTGCGCCCTGTCAATTCCCCACAGAATTTTGTAGGCGGTTGTCATATCTCACCTTACTCTTCTGTTTTCCAGGGACGTGAGGTTTAGCTCCCTTAGCCTTTCCTCGTAGCTCATACCTCTCAGTTCTGGGACTAGTCTGGTGGCATACCTCTGAATCTTCTCTAACTTTGTCTTGTATTTAACTAGGTATGGACTCCAGGCTGGAGCTGCATATTCCAGAATTGATCTGATATAGGTGGTATACAAGGTCCTGAACTATTCCTTACATAAGTTTCCAAAGGCAGTTCTTATGTTGGCCAAGTTGGCCAATCTAGTATATGCCGCTGATGATATCCTTTTGATGTGGGCTTATGGGGACAGGTTCGGTGTGATATCAACTCCCCCCCCCCCCAGATCTTTTTCTCTATTTGACTCTTGCAGGATTTCACCTCCCAGATGGTACCTTGTGTTCAGCCTTCTGCTCCTTTCGCCTAATTTCATTACTTTACACTTTCCTGAGTTGAACTTTAATAACCATTTTCAAGACCATTCCTCCAGCTTGCCCAGGTCGTCCTGTAGTCTCTGTCAATCTTCATCTGTTTTGATTCTTCTCATAATTTTTGCATCATCAGCAAACATTGAGAGGAATGAGTCTATACCCTCTAGAAGATCGTTTACATATATTAGAATCAGGATGGGTCCAAGTACAGAGCCCTGTGGGACTCCGCTGGTGACATCTCACCACTCAGTTGTCCTTTCCCTCACAGTTACTAGCTGTTTCCTGTTGCTTAGATACTCCCTTATCCACTGGAGCACCTTACCTTTTATTACTGCCTGTTGTTCTAACTTTTGCAAATGCCTTTTATGTGGTATTGTGTCAAAAGCTTTCGGACAGTCCAAGAAAATGCAGTCTGCGACTCTTCTCTTTCTTGCCTAATTTTTGTTGCTTGGTCATATAATTCTATTAAACCTATGAGGCACGATTTACCATCTCTGAACCCATGCTGGTGTGTTACAAAGTTATTTCCCTCCAGATGCTCTACGAGCCTTTTCCTAGCGATTTTCTCCATCACCTTGCATGGTATACAAGTTAGGGAAACTGGTCTGTAGTTCAGTGCCTCTTGCCTGTCACCCTTTTTATATACTGGGACTACATTAGTTGCCTTCTAGCTTTCCTGTAGGTCTCCTGTTCCCAGTGACCTGTTATACACCATAGAGAGTGGGGCACAGTTAGTGCCTCTGCACTTTCTTTTAGTATCAATGGTGAGATCCTGTCAGGCCCAACAGCCTTTGTCATATTCAGCTCCAACAGATTCCTTAATTTTGACCTTATCGCTTGTGAGGTCAAAGCCCCTTTAGCCTCTTCCCTTCCAATTCCATCCTTGGATAAGTTATCCCTACCTCTACCAGATACTCAAATGTCAATACACAGTGGTCACTCATTCCTACGGGAACTTCAAACTTGACTTCACTTATTTCTGACTCATTCAAGGTAAATATCAGGTCGAGTCTAGCTGCTTCGTCATTGCCTCTCATTCTTGTGGGTCCCTTGACATGTTTGCTCAGAAAGTTCCTTGTTGCCACTTCCAGGAGTTTAGCTCTCCATGTATCTGCACCTCCATGTGGGTCCCCATTCTCCCAGTCTATCTTTCCATGGTTGAAATCGGCCATGACAGAGTCTGGATTCATTCCTGCAGGCAAATGAAGCTGCTCTCTCTATTATATTATTGGTTATCATGTTGTTTCTATCGAACTCCTGTCTGGGTCTTCTGTCATTTAGTGGAGGGTTGTAAATGACTGCCACTATTATCTTAGGTCCACCCATTGTTATAGTCCCTGTTAGGTAGTTTCTGAATCCTTCACAGCCCGGAATTTCCATCTCTTCAAAACTCCAGTCCTTCCTTATCAGCAGGGCCACTCCTCCTCCTCCTCTCCCGTCCCTGTGTGTGTGTGTGTGTGTGTGTGTGTGTGTGTGTGTGTGTGTGTGTGTGTGTGTGTGTGTGTGTGTGTGTGTGTGTGTGTGAGTGTCTGCGTGCGTGCGTGCATGTGTACTTTAGTGTAATTGCTATAAATTAACAAGATTCAATCACTCAGTGAAGGACCTATCGTAACTGTTCTCATCACAATCACACATTTCACCATACAAAAATATACACAAAAATCAAGAGAACCAATTTTCCTCTAGTTACCAATAGGAAAAACAATCAATCACTGGCAAAGAAAGAGTGGGATGAGCGTTCATCCCCCGGTGTGGCAACAGGGATCCAGAACCCACTGATCATAGCTCCGAGTCTCCTGTAATGAATCAGATGAGAGCTTACTGACGCGGCCGAAGAGAGATTCCTGCAGGTAGTAATTCAGGGACCTGGCCATTCCTGGCGCCGAAGCCTAGGTATTCAAGGATCCTCTTTTGTCACCGTGATTCCTTACCATCCTAACTGACAAAGGCCCAGATGGAAAGTGATTAGGGGGGACATCACGTGTGAGGACTGAGAGAGAGAGAGAGAGAGGGGCTAGGGAAGATTAAAAGAGGGAGAGAAAAAGCAAGAGAGGCGGAGAAAAGGTAAGAGAGAGAGAAGGAAAGAGGTAAGGGGAAGACAAGACAGTGAAATACGGAAGGGAAGTAAGAAGAGATCAGGCGGCCGGGAAGGGGTTGGACGGTTGATAAGGAAGACTACATTACTGCTCTTAATGCCTTAAAGAAGCCAGACATAATCTATGGAGCTTAGAACATTAGCTTCAAATTCTGTTATGTGAGGACAGGTTTGTGTAGAGCCCCGTGGCGCGCGACCATCACACTAACCTAGGGTCCGGGGATCGATCCCCAACGGAGGCGGAAACAGATGGGCAGTTTCTTTCATCTTGATGCTCCTGTTCACTTAGCATTAAATAGGTACCTGGGAGTTAGACAACTGCTACGGGCTGCTTCCTTAGGGGAGAGGGTGTGTGTGTGTGAGGGGGGGGGGGGAATAAGTTGACTGACAGCTGAGAAGCGGGACCAAAGAGCCAGAGCTCAACCCCCCGCAAGCACAACTAGGTGAGTACATACCATCACTGTGGCATGAGAGGAATAAAACAACTCACAAAGGACTTCATAACAACACAAAAAATATAACATGTAAAATATTTTATACGTTAAAATATAACGTATAAAAAATAACGTATTATAATAAAAATATAATATATAACAAATATAACCAACTAACGTGTCGAGAATTGAGTGACATCTTGTGTGTGTTTTATTTAGTAACACTAATGTAGTAATTGGAGTGATGGAACTCCTTCAAGACCCTTAACCCGGCCATCACTCGGATGGATGATAATTACACGCTGACGATGCTGATTGGACACTCCGACATTTTTATCTGTAATGGGCGTCACAGATCCGAACCAGTAGCTGATGGCATCGTTAGTCGTCAGCCAATCAGGTGAGAGGGAGCACCTTGGCAGGAGACCAGGTGCTGCTCACTTCCTATGCTAATCACAGGAAGAGGGACCTGGGGCCAGATTCACGAAGCAGGTCCTCAAGCACTTACGAACCTGTACATCTTTTCTCAATCTTTGGCGGCTCTGTTTACACTTATTAAACAGTTAGTGAGCTCCGAAGCACCAGGAGGCTGTTTATAACAATAACAACAGTTGATTGGCAAGTTTTCATGCTTGTAAACTGTTTAATAAATGTAACCAAAGGTGTTAAAGATTTAGGAAAGATGTACACGTTCGTAAGTACTTGCGTAACTGCTTCGTGAATCTGGCCCCTCGTGGCAAGTCTCCATCATGCTCCTCTGTGGTTCTGAGGCAACATTTGATTGTTGCCGCCGAAGGCGGCTAGTTTATTGTGCACCCCATACTCATCCTGTGAGCGGTAGCGCAAAAGCATTACAGAGGGCACAAAAGGTCTTTATCAGACCTCAACTTAGATTATTACATAAACAATTTCATCTATCCTTCACACCTTATAGTTACAATGTCAGCTAGTTACAGAGAAAGTGCTATTTCAAGAGCTACATATTTACAGTAAGTCATCATACATTAATGGCAGGTCTTATCGCTAATACATAATAGTTTGGCCAATGGGGATATTACAGTCATAGGGTAGCTTCTGTTTATTATTAGTCCTCACAATACACTACTTGTTTCTGAATCTCATATGTCGTTCATCTACTGGAAGCGAAATGTGGATACAGTGCAAGGATTTCAGGTACTTTATCCATGGTAATAAGATAGGTTGCCATATCATACAGAGTGAGCTTAGATTTATCTCTAAATGGCTCAATTTTACTACAATCCAAGATATAGTGTTCGAGTGTGTGTCCCTGTCTTTGTCCACACACTTTACACTTTACTTCATCTAGATCCCTAAACAAACCGAACTACCAGAGATACTTGTTGCCAAGTCTTATACGAGCTGTGACAACATCTGTTAGTCTACTGACTTTGTTACTTGCCCCATGCACATGTTTTACTTCACACATTTCATTGTGATGAACAATGGACCTGCTAGTTCCAGTTTGCACAGTTCTACTTTCTTCAAATCCATCCAGGAGTTCTCGTCTAATGACACTTTGATGACACTAATGACACGGTGAGGGGGAGTGCCAGGGTGAGGGGGAGTGCCAGGGTGAGGAAGGAGTGCCAGGGTGAGGGGAGTGCCAAGGTGAGGAAGGAGTGCCAGGGTGAGGAAGGAGTGCCAGGGTGAGGGGGAGTGCCAGGGTGAGGAAGGAGTGCCAGGGTGAGGGGGAGTGCCAGGGTGAGGAAGGAGTGCCAGGGTGAGGGGGAGTGCCAGGGTGAGGAAGGAGTGCCAGGGTGAGGAAGGAGTGCCAGGGTGAGGGGAGTGCCAAGGTGAGGAAGGAGTGCCAGGGTGAGGAAGGAGTGCCAGGGTGAGGGGGAGTGCCAGGGTGAGGGGGAGTGCCAAGGTGAGGAAGGAGTGCCAGGGTGAGGGGGAGTGCCAAGGTGAGGAAGGAGTGCCAGGGTGAGGGGAGTGCCAAGGTGAGGAAGGAGTGCCAGGGTGAGGGGGAGTGCCAAGGTGAGGAAGGAGTGCCAGGGTGAGGGGGAGTGCCAGGGGTGAGGGAATGTACAGCTCACAAATCCAACTTTAGTACGAATTTCAATAAACCATTTCAGTACCGCACTTACTATCCAAAATAGCCAATTAAGGGAGTGGGAGGACTTTTCTAGCGGATTTTGTGGATTTTATAAAATACAATAAAATGTGGATTTTACTGATATCATTCGTAACGCTCCGAGATTTTGTGGTTTTTTCTCGTTCCGGGTTCCTTAACCATCATTGTTCCGGGTTCCTTAACCATCATTGTTCCGGGTTCCTTAACCATCATTGTTCCGGGTTCCTTAACCATCATTGTTCCGGGTTCCTTAACCATCATTGTTCCGGGTTCCTTAACCATCATTGTTCCGGGTTCCTTAACCATCATTGTTCCGGGTTCCTTAACCATCATTGTTCCGGGTTCCTTAACCATCATTGTTCCGGGTTCCTTAACCATCATTGTTCCGGGTTCCTTAACCATCATTGTTCCGGGTTCCTTAACCATCATTGTTCCGGGTTCCTTAACCATCATTGTTCCGGGTTCCTTAACCATCATTGTTCCGGGTTCCTTAACCATCATTGTTCCGGGTTCCTTAACCATCATTGTTCCGGGTTCCTTAACCATCATTGTTCCGGGTTCCTTAACCATCATTGTTCCGGGTTCCTTAACCATCATTGTTCCGGGTTCCTTAACCATCATTGTTCCGGGTTCCTTAACCATCATTGTTCCGGGTTCCTTAACCATCATTGTTCCGGGTTCCTTAACCATCATTGTTCCGGGTTCCTTAACCATCATTGTTCCGGGTTCCTTAACCATCATTGTTCCGGGTTCCTTAACCATCATTGTTCCGGGTTCCTTAACCATCATTGTTCCGGGTTCCTTAACCATCATTCTCATCTGGATCACAATGATGGCATTGTTCCGGGTTCCTTAACCATCATTCTCATCTGGATCACAATGATGGCATTGTTCCGGGTTCCTTAACCATCATTCTCATCTGGATCACAATGATGGCATTGTTCCGGGTTCCTTAACCATCATTCTCATCTGGATCAGAATGATGGCATTGTTCCGGGTTCCTTAACCATCATTCTCATCTGGATCAGAATGATGGCATTGTACTTTTGTACTGATTGTACTTTTTAATTTTATACAGGACAAAAGATCTGGGGCAATAACCAAAAATAATTTGTATTCGGCCTAATATAGTACATATATGTAATAACTTTAGTCTAAGGTTGTGTACGTTAAGCCAAGTTAGTACATTTTCTTGTTATGCCTTTCACGATCCCAGTAGTCTAAAATGTGGACTTATCTTTGTGAATAACATTACACACAGTGGACACTCCCTCCTTAGATGCTCCTGGTACGAGGACTTGTGCTACAGAGGCTACAAAACCAGTACACGAAAATGCAGCCATTTATATGACAAAATATCACTCATATTGGAAAAGTCAATATACATGTTGTTACCAATTAACCAAAAACGACAGACTATCACTAAACACAAAAGACCTTCCCCCATCACGATAGACTTTCCCCCATCACCGCAGATCTTCCCTCATCACCGCAGATCTTACCCCATCACCATGGACCTTCCCCCATCACCATGGATCTTCCCCCATCACCATGGACCTTCCCCCATCACCATGGACCTTCCCCCATCACCATGGACCTTCCCCCATCACCATGGACCTTCCCCCATCACCATGGACCTTCCCCCATCACCGCAGATCTTCCCTCATCACCGCAGACCTTACCCCATCACCATTCACCCATCGCCAGACATTCACACAACGATACAAACATTCACCCATTGCAACATACTTTTATATAACGTCAGACCAGCCACAGGGAATGTCTCCCTTGCCCTTGGCTGAGGAGAAACTGGTTTATTCTTGTATTATTTGCACTAATATTACATATTTCACAGCTGTTAAATGAAGTACATTTCAACTCGCTGCCTCCCCTTTCATTCACATATTGCTTTCACAAAAAAGTTTGTTCGGAGACAGATACAAAGTCCTTTGACGACAAACAAAAATATACATCACTGGACGCTTGAAACAGAAAAAGTTGCACAAATTATTCGGTCCATCAGAAGGGCGGCGCCACACATCACCGGGGCGCTGACAGCCATTGCTGGCAAAAGGAACAATTAAATTCTACTCATGAGCTTATTTTTTAGTGCATACAAAATGTCACACGAATTATACCTCGCGTTGTCCGACTCCTTTATAATGAGGAAGTTGTACTCACCTAGTTGTGTCTGCAGGATCGAGCATTGACTCTTGGATCCCGCCTTTCGAGCATCGGTTGTTTACAGCAATGACTCCTGTCCCATTTCCCTATCATACCTGGTTTTAAAATTATGAATAGTATTTGCTTCCACAACCTGTTCCTTAAGCGCATTCCATTTTTCCACTACTCTCACGCTAAAAGAAAACTTCCTAGCATCTCTGTGACTTATCTGAGTTTCCAACTTCCACCCATGTCCCCTCGTTCTGTTACTATTCCGTGTGAACATTTCGTGAATGTCCACTCTGTCAAGCTGAGTATTTTATACGTTCCTATCATGTCCTCCTCTCCCTTCTTCTTTCTAGTGTCGTAAGGCACAGTTCCCTCAGGCGCTCCTCATACCCCATCCCTCGTAGCACTGGGACGAGTCTCGTTGCAAACCTCTGAACCTTTTCCAGTTTCTTTATATGCTTCTTCAGATGGGGACTCCATGATGAGGCGGCATACTCTAAGACTGGCCTCACGTAAGATGTAAAGCGCCCTAATTGCCTCCTTAGGTTTCTGAATGATGCTCTAACTTTTGCCAGTGTAGAGTATGCTGCTCTCGTTATCTGTCAACAAGTTGACAGTTGTGCTGTCAACTTGTTGATATTTGAAATGATCTTGAAACAAACTGAACTGGAACTGGTCCTGGGCCCCCTAGGAGGGTCCTGGACCCTTCCAGGAGGCTCAGAACCCTTCCAGGGAGCCCAGGACTCTCCCAGGGGCCCAGGACTCTCCCAGGGGCCCAGGACCCTCCCAGGGGGTCCAGGACCCTCCCAGGGGCTCAGAGCCGTCCCAGGGGCCCAAGAACTTTCCAAGGGGCCCAGGAATCTTTCAGGGGGCTCAGGACCCTCTCAGGGAGCCCAGGACCCTCCCAGGGGGCCCAGGACCCTCTCAGGGAGCCCAGGACCCTCCCAGGGGGGCCAGGACCCTCCCAGGGGGCCCAGGACTCTCCCAGGGGGGCCAGGTCCCTCCCAGGGGGGCCCAGGACCCTCCCGTAGGGGTATCCAGCGCCAGATTACAGGAATTTACAGTAGCTAACTTACGGTAATATTATTATCACCTGTAGTCTAATGGTAGAAGTTATGTGTGTGTGTGCCAGGGCGTAGTTGGTCCCGTACCCACATGCCTGGGCAGCAAACTTTAAGTTTTCTCATATCATTTTAATGGGACCAACTTTCCTCAAGAAATTTAAATCGTGGGAAAATAAAAATATGCAAACATGCAAATGTGACTTTTCTTCCTCCCCAGAGTGTGGTGTTGACACTATACCAGGGGAAGCTGAGGTGTGTGTGTGGTGTTGACACTATACCAGGGGAAGCTGAGGTGTGTGTGTGGTGTTGACACTATAGCAGGGGAAGCTGAGGTGTGTGTGGTGTTGACACTATACCAGGGGAAGCTGAGGTGTGTGTGGTGTTGACACTATACCAGGGGAAGCTGAGGTGTGTGTGTGGTGTTGACACTATACCAGGGGAAGCTGAGGTGTGTGTGTGGTGTTGACACTATACCAGGGGAAGCTGAGGTGTGTGTGGTGTTGACACTATACCAGGGGAAGCTGAGGTGTGTGTGGTGTTGACACTATACCAGGGGGAAGCTGAGGTGTGTGTGGTGTTGACACTATACCAGGGGAAGCTGGTGTGTGTGGTGTTGACACTATACCAGGGGAAGCTGGTGTGTGTGTGGTGTTGACACTATACCAGGGGAAGCTGAGGTGTGTGTGTGGTGTTGACACTATACCAGGGGAAGCTGAGGTGTGTGTGTGGTGTTGACACTATACCAGGGGAAGCTGAGGTGTGTGTGGTGTTGACACTATACCAGGGGAAGCTGGTGTGTGTGTGGTGTTGACACTATACCAGGGGAAGCTGAGGTGTGTGTGGTGTTGACACTATACCAGGGGAAGCTGGTGTGTGTGTGGTGTTGACACTATACCAGGGGAAGCTGGTGTGTGTGTGGTGTTGACACTATACCAGGGGGAAGCTGGGGTGTGTGTGTGGTGTTGACACTATACCAGGGGAAGCTGAGGTGTGTGTGGTGTTGACACTATACCAGGGGGAAGCTGAGGTGTGTGTGTGGTGTTGACACTATACCAGGGGAAGCTGAGGTGTGTGTGGTGTTGACACTATACCAGGGGAAGCTGAGGTGTGTGTGGTGTTGACACTATACCAGGGGAAGCTGGTGTGTGTGTGGTGTTGACACTATACCAGGGGAAGCTGAGGTGTGTGTGTGGTGTTGACACTATACCAGGGGGAAGCTGAGGTGTGTGTGTGGTGTTGACACTATACCAGGGGAAGCTGAGGTGTGTGTGGTGTTGACACTATACCAGGGGAAGCTGAGGTGTGTGTGTGGTGTTGACACTATACCAGGGGAGGCTGAGGTGTGTGTGTGGTGTTGACACTATACCAGGGGAAGCTGAGGTGTGTGTGGTGTTGACACTATACCAGGGGAAGCTGAGGTGTGTGTGGTGTTGACACTATACCAGGGGAAGCTGAGGTGTGTGTGGTGTTGACACTATACCAGGGGAAGCTGAGGTGTGTGTGGTGTTGACACTATACCAGGGGAAGCTGAGGTGTGTGTGGTGTTGACACTATACCAGGGGAAGCTGAGGTGTGTGTGGTGTTGACACTATACCAGGGGAAGCTGAGGTGTGTGTGGTGTTGACACTATACCAGGGGAAGCTGAGGTGTGTGTGGTGTTGACACTATACCAGGGGAAGCTGAGGTGTGTGTGGTGTTGACACTATACCAGGGGAAGCTGAGGGTGTGTGTGGTGTTGACACTATACCAGGGGAAGCTGAGGTGTGTGTGGTGTTGACACTATACCAGGGGAAGCTGAGGTGTGTGTGGTGTTGACACTATACCAGGGGAAGCTGAGGTGTGTGTGGTGTTGACACTATACCAGGGGAAGCTGAGGTGTGTGTGGTGTTGACACTATACCAGGGGAAGCTGAGGTGTGTGTGGTGTTGACACTATACCAGGGGAAGCTGAGGTGTGTGTGGTGTTGACACTATACCAGGGGAAGCTGAGGTGTGTGTGGTGTTGACACTATACCAGGGGAAGCTGAGGTGTGTGTGTGGTGTTGACACTATACCAGGGGAAGCTGAGGTGTGTGTGGTGTTGACACTATACCAGGGGAAGCTGAGGTGTGTGTGGTGTTGACACTATACCAGGGGAAGCTGAGGTGTGTGTGTGGTGTTGACACTATACCAGGGGAAGCTGAGGTGTGTGTGTGGTGTTGACACTATACCAGGGGAAGCTGAGGTGTGTGTGGTGTTGACACTATACCAGGGGAAGCTGAGGTGTGTGTGGTGTTGACACTATACCAGGGGAAGCTGAGGTGTGTGTGGTGTTGACACTATACCAGGGGAAGCTGAGGTGTGTGTGGTGTTGACACTATACCAGGGGAAGCTGAGGTGTGTGTGGTGTTGACACTATACCAGGGGAAGCTGAGGTGTGTGTGTGGTGTTGACACTATACCAGGGGAAGCTGAGGTGTGTGTGTGGTGTTGACACTATACCAGGGGAAGCTGAGGTGTGTGTGGTGTTGACACTATACCAGGGGAAGCTGAGGTGTGTGTGGTGTTGACACTAT